CAATCTCAATCTCAGTCTGCTGTGTTCTCATTGGCTGAGCTTCGATCTCAATCTTAATCTCAATCTTAATCTCAATCTCCAAGGCGTAGTCTGATACCGGCTTTACTTCATGGTCGCGCTGCAAGCGTAGCAAAGCGTTGTTGCATGTTGTACAGAAGCCGATACTGGTGTTCAGTCTATTTACATCATATCTATGGAATATAATGGAACTGGCGTTATTATTTTAAAATAAACGCCCCGCGAGAGCATCATGATCACAACGCTTTGTATACCTGAATTTTGGTATTAGTATTTCACTGAACGATTTTTTGATTTCACATTACACGCTTAAGTATCTGACCACACAGGATCTTGGCCAGATTGACTCTTGCTTTAAAATTGAGAGCAGGTGCCATTAAGAAAAGAATTTTAAAATAAACTTGGAGAAGTAAAGCGAAGAAAAACCGGAAGAAATTCCAAGGTATTTCCAAAAAATTGTACATTTTTTAATGCTTTATAAAATAAGTTTTCACACAATTTTAGCAATTTGAATATATATATATATAATAATAAATACAATATTATTGATTTTACTGTTTACACAATTTTTAAATATTATTTTAAATATTAAATTTATTTATATGTTGAAATATAATTTCTAAATTGAGTTTTCATTTGTAGGTGTGAAATAATGAACCATAAACATCCAATTAAAACTTATCTAAGAAAACCTGCAAAGAAACCTGTAAGTTCATTAGCATCTGTTGTATCGAGTAAATATAATTCTGTGAAAAATAACCTTTTTGACAAAAGTGATACTTGTAATGATTCCTCAAATGATCCATTCGAAACAACATTCGACAGAATTGCCAAAGGAGCAGTGTAAGAAAAAGTTGCAATAAAGTAGATATTTAAACAGTTCACATATTTAATATAAATTTATTGTTTTTGTTATATATGTATTGAATGTCTCAAACAGCACAGAGTTCAAGAAAAATTCATATATTAACAATTCTAAGTTTATTTTCAGGTGCAAAGAATACTTTTTGCATCTGAAAATTCAGAATTGATGACATACTACCGAATTTTCTTTTTGAACTCTCTGCTAGGTGGGATGTATATGTATTTATATATACATTTGTATATGTATTTAAATATATATATATATATATACATAATATGTATATGTATATGATATATATATATATATATATGGTACATATGTATACATTACATATATAATCTTACACACACACATTTATATTTAATCTTAAATTTATTTTAATATAGTGTGCCTCCTATGCCATTGGATAATCAAAATGATTCATGGAAGAGCAGCAGTGATAGTGATAATGAAGCAATAAGTGTAAAATCTGAATATAAGCAGGATTCTAATCTTTTTGTATACAATAATACATCTGATTCTCTCTCCACAAATGTTAGCCATAAAGTGGCTCGTAAACGCAGAAAACCAAAAAAATATGAGCCAGAAGTTATAATTGCTACAGGAATATTCTCTAAAAGAACAAGAATAATGTCAATAAAAGATAAAACATTGTCAGGAAAAGCACAGGTACGTTCAATTAATTGGAATAAACAATTGAATTTATTTCTAATAATATATATTAATTAATAAGCAGGGACAGAAGAGACAAGCAAATAAGATAAAAAAAAAGAAAATGAGAGAAGATAAATTAAAGTCTAGTCGTATGTGCAATGAACAGATGAACAGATCTCATGTTATTGATAATTTGGAAGGTGTTTCATATGAGAATGGTACTGCAACATGCAACAGTAATGAACGTTTGCATCAAAATGTTTTAAAGATTGACAAAACAGTTGTATCACAGAATGAATCAATTAGAACAAGTGACTTCATTGCTAATTTCAAACAGATAGCAAATTATCAACAAATTATCAAACCATGTTTTGTTAAATTAAATACTTGCACTGTTCAGAATTACATATTGAATTGTGAAAAAACTGTAGAAAACAAACAAGATATATTGCATAATGCAAAATTCTTGTATACAGATACTTTACAACCTAATAAAAATATTTCTAAAATACAGAATACTATTTCACAATCAATTCCAACTGAATATAATGAATTTGAAGACTTCACACATTCATCGGTCAAACAATGTTCTGTAGTAACATTATGCAATAATGTTAAAGATTATGTTAAATTAAAAAGTAAAAGAAACACAATAGATACTATCAAAATAGAAGGTAAATCAGATGAATCACATTTAGTTTTCCATGCAGGTCCGTTTGAAATGACTCCAAATTGCAATAAAAGTATTAAATTTGCACCATATGATAAGAAAAAATACAAGGATCTAATAAAAGATAGTTTTGTAAAAGTGGAAAGATTAAAAATAAAAGAGTTTGCAAAGGTAAATAGTAAAGTATCTAATGAAAAAAAGCAAAACATAGTTTGTAGCACTCCTCTTGGCAAACGAGTCAAACCTTCTTCAGTTTTATTTTCTCCTATTAATACGAATATTTGTGACAAATTATATTGGAGTCAAGAATGTTCATTAGTAACAAGTGCAAAAGAAAATATTTCCAACATTGATCTGGAAGATTCTCATTCTTTGATTACGATGCTGGAATATCATAAACTTGATAAAGATATACACGAACAAAAAACACAATCACTTTTATTGTCTCAGAAATCACAAATGTCTATACATTCCGTTGTTAAGGATGATGTAACATCTTGCAAGGAGGTACTTGTTACTCAAAAATATGATACAAAAGTTGACAATGTTGAAACGAAAATTCCATATTCTTTAAATATGTCTATTGTAAGTAATGATCAATCACGATCATTATTTGATGATACAACATATAGTATAAATCACTCGGCGAAAAGTATAAATGGAGATAATATTAAAAAAAAAAATTCTTCTGATGTGCTGGCATGTAAATTTATAAAAATGAATACAGTAGAGTCATCCGTTGATTTATGTTTAAAACAAAATCAATTATTAAGTGACAATAAGCAAACTGATGCTAGTTCGCAATATAAATTGCCTTCCAAAGTATCTGTATTCAGAGATTTAGATAATATGCATATGAAACAAAAATATGAATTTCAAGAAAATTACCATACAAATACAAATATAAATACTGTAGAAGCAAATCGTGAAAATTTTAAAAATAAAAATGTTAATATTAGTAAACACAATTTATTAAGTGGGAGTCAAGAAAATATTAACATCGATACTCATGTGCTTACACGATTGCAAGATCCGATCAGAATAGGAAGGAGAATACAATATCCTAAGTGGCATCTAAGTATGTCAAATATTTCCGATAGCGTAAATAATGGAACAACACAATCGAACAACGAAGTATTTCGCTATGTCACAACTGATAAGAACTTTTCTAATGTTCAATCAGTAGGTAATTCCGAGTATTCTAAGAATGTAATAAATTTGTCTCATTCTGAATCCTTTAATGGCACGACTCAGCTATATAATACTACAAATAAACAAATGGAGAAATCTGTTTTTTTAAAACCGGGCAAGTATTGGGCAAGATCTTTGTCAATATTAAACAATATAAATGATGAATCTAATTTAGACAAATTAAGTATCGGAAAAGGAAAAAAGTGGAGGCGTAGTGTCAAAGATATATTGGATATGCAGAAACAAGGTAATTTTTTTTATATGAGAACTATAATAGTAACATGTTAAAAAATATAACTTAACTGCATGTCGCGTAATGCAGCCTATATAAAATACAATATTATAAACTATCACATTTCATATGTATTAATATTGATAAAATTCTTTTTTTCATAAAAAATCTTTATATTACATGCAATTTTTTAGTTATAATATATATATATTTCTGTAACAGAAGCTGGTATTCGTAATCTGTCAAAACTTGAGTACTGTTTTAAGATACTTTGTATAGCTCTTGATTACTTTATGACACCTTAAACTGTACTTAAAGATGGCTTTAAATATGTATAAGAACCAGCTATGAATACTGGCCTTATATGTACTAACTAATAACTAATACGTAACAGCATTATTGCCTTAATACATACTTAACAAAATCTAGATGCTTATCAATCATATATATACCTATATATATATATATATATATATATATATATATATATAATTTCAGTTTATAAAGAGTAATTAAATTCATATACATATTAAGACAGTCAAAACATTAAGATTTCGTATAAATATTTATACTATTTTTTGGTTGAAAAACAGTTGAAAGTAATTTATTAAACAAAATTGTAATTTAGAGAAGCACTAACCAATAACATCTTATGAACAAATGTAATAAAAGATCTTTTAGTTTTTATATTTAATTTTTGATGCCTTTTTACGTTGTATAATTTTGAAAGTGGCAATATTTTAAGATTTATACATTTTTATAATAATGAGATTGAATAAGTATAAAAAGAGTTTCGATACTTATATTTAGAGTCTTTGATAAATGGGTAGGCTTTGTAGTATTTAATCTGGTAAATATTATATAGTGTGGCAGATAATTATTAAAATTATAATGATTTTGTGCAGGAGTTGTCCAAAGTTGTTTGAAAAAGAGTAAAGATGATACGGATCTATCTAACGATGATAGGCTTACAATTAGTGCATCAAATGCATCATCATTCAACGGGAACAGATGTAAAGAATTCAATTTAACGAATAATATTAGATTTTCTAAAAGAATCTCGGTGAGAGTTGTGCTTAATAATACAAGCACTAAGTGCGATATTAAAGACACTCCATTTCTTGAGGCATTTGGAATAACAGCAGAAAAATCTCCAAGCTTGAAATTATCATGTAAGTATTTTTGCTCGCTGCATATTGCTGTACACAGTCTGTTCGTTTTACACAGCACTACATATTTGCATATTACACATAATGTTATTATATCAACTGATACGAATTAAATATTATGAATTAAATTATTTGCAGACCGTGAAGAATCATTGATACATGATGATCGAATTATCAATAGTCATTCCACAACTGCAAGAGATGTTGTCTTACAGAGATGTTCACAAAATTGTTATATATCTTTTGCAGATCGTTTCCCAGATTCGTATGTAAATCTTTGTATATATATTTAAACAATTATAGTCAGGGTTGGGAACGTTATCTCAAAAAAATAATGCGTTACTGTTACTGTTATTTTTTATTAAAAAAATAACTCGTTACCGTACGTTTCTCTCTTGTTACTGATTTTAAAAAGTAACGCGTTACCGTTACCGTTACTTGAAAAATAACGATTCGTTACTTTGTTGTAATAAATTTAATTATATATTTTAAATTTATATTATTTGATAATTATTATGAAATGTATTAATAAATATTAAAACTTAAAACTTTAAACTAATCTGTATGTAGATCAAGTCTTTCTTTATATTATTGATTTTTGTAGAAAGTTATATTAAATTTATTTTGAAAAGAGGAATGAAAACGACAACAACATTACTTTCCAACCTGGATATATGTTTCACAAATATATGTACATTATACTATTAATTACTCTATTTTTATTGGCAGCTATTTGGAACATTGCCACAAAATAGGCGAAGGTGTTTATGGAGAAGTTTTTCTTTACGAATGTGATGGCAAAAAATCTGTTATAAAAATTATTCCTATAGAAAATGAACAGTTGGTCAATGGTGAACAACAAAAGAAATTCAATGAAATATTGTCAGAAATTGTGATTGCAAAGTGAGTCAATTGATCTGCAATTGCATGCTTATATATTGGTTGATATTATTGACAAAAATCATGAAAGAAGATATTTGCAGGGAATTAGATAATTTGAGATTAAATGATACATACAAAACTAATGGATTTGTAGAAGTTAAAAATATCAGCTGTATTATAGGAAAGTATCCAGAAAAGCTCATAGAACTTTGGAATATTTATGATAATAACAAAACATCCGACAATGATTGTCCATCAATGTTTGGCGAAAATCAGTTGTATATCGCTCTTGAACTCAGTCACGGTGGAGAAGATCTTGAAGCCTTTGTATTCCAAACCGCAGAGGAGGCTTATGCTCTATTTTTACAGGTTGCAGGCTGCATGTTTATATTTGCCACTTTCGAAAATTATCTCTTTGATTAATTATTCATTAGCGCGTTTTATTTTTTACAGACAGCATTGGCATTAGCAATTGCGGAAAAGGCATTTGAATTTGAACACAGAGATTTGCACTGGGGTAATGTATTAATATCAAGAACAAAGGAACCATATATATATTATAATCTCGAAGGAAGAGAGATCAAGGTTCCTAGTAAAGGTGTAAAGGTATGCGCTTATGTCTGTGACAAAATACTATTATAACTTTGCGTTATATAATCTAATCTTAATTTATATTTTTTGTGTTAAGGTGTCTATAATAGATTTTACGCTCTCAAGGATGTTATATCAAGGATGTTGCATATATAATGATCTTGCGTTAGATCCAGCTTTATTTACTGCTCATGGCGAATATCAATTTGAGATTTATCGTCTTATGCGTGACAAAATTCAGTAAGTAACATTTTATATCTTACTTCTTTTTCTGTTATACTATTTATTCACTTCCATCGTACTTCCATCGTGTGTACAGGAATAATTGGCGAAAATTTGAACCATATACGAATGTTCTGTGGTTGCATTACATTTTGGATAAAATGATTACGGCGGTAAGATACAAAAAAAAGAACTTGAAGGTGCATAAACATGCTGTTATCAGATTAAAAGGATTCAAAGATATAATTTTAAACTACGACAGTGCATACGACTTTGTAATCAATTCTAATAGCATTCTGTACCTATGATGTACGAGCCCATATCTGAAAAATGTCTATAATAAATCAAATTTTGTCAAATTTTCTAGATATTTTCTGTTGCATTTAAAATTTAGTTATATGTACAAATAATTATTAAATTATCCACATTGAATTAAGTAATAAAATTATGATATTAATGTGTGACTTATTTCATATCTTATATATTAATAATAATTGTTTAGGATTGAAATTATCTCACATTCTTTATTTCCTTCCTTTTATATATTTTTTTTATAAAATATAAATTTTTAAAATTTTCCCATACTCTACATAATAATAACGATAATAAAAGTATTTAATTTTTTTATCATTTTTCCTCTAATTTATTATTCTACTTTTTATATGGCGCAGATTAATATCGATTTATATGTATCATCGACATATATGTTGAATTGAACGTAGAAATAGGCAAACACGTGCTCGCTTATATATTGTGAGAGAAACTATATAAGTACGTTGGAAGCTTGTATAATTTCTCTTGCTAGCATCTTGTTGATAATTTTATTCTAGCAGAGACAAGATCATCAATGAAATGCTAGCAAAAAAGATAAGACCTATGTAGTCCTTCTCATTCCATGACGCCGTAGTTTTTTCTACAGGGATGCTTTGCAATCCATTGTATATGTCGAGATGGTTTATATATTTTTTTGCTTTTAATCTTTCATGAGAGAGTGCAATTGGGGATTATGGAAATTATAGAGCTAGTTCTTTCTAGCTTTTTTAGCACGCGGTTCATTTTTCCTCTTTTTTTTTCTTCAACATGGTGAAAAAAATAAAGGAAAGACAAATCGTGGAAGAAGTCAATAAAAAAGAATAAAACAAGCATTATATGAATTAAATCTTAACAATTTAAGTTCTTTACTTTTTAAATTATATTCCTGTTATTTGAAGTATATTTTCTATTTGATTTTAAAATTTAGTTGTTTTAAACTCTTATTTCTCAATCTTCGCATTGTTTATCAATATATTTTGCGACATAATGTGTTTAATGTAATAATTATATTCATTCCAATAAAATAATTCTCGTAAATTTCATCCCGCTTTAATAAGTTAATATCGGAAAGTACATTATCATAATAAATAAAATAATTAAATTCCTCGATACGGATTGATAATATTCGACAAAATTGCTCATCATTATACCTAACCATGCATAATGTCACTGATCGGAAAAAG